CCCCCCCCCCCCCGCAATGATCAACACTTTAAGATGGCAATGCCAGCGCTGAGGGCTTCACGCTCCATTACCTTCAAAGAAAGTGATTTAGGAGGTCAAAAAGTACCTCGGCTCCGCAGGACTGTGGCTGTGAACTGAGTCGGGGGGCAAATCTGAATGAAAGTTGAGTGATGATCTCATGTAAAAGCTGTGTGCTACTTTTTGAGATTTTGTGCTTGTGGTAGGCAGGGATGGGGAGGGTCATGGAGCTGGAACGGGAGGGGGTGAGGACTAATGGTGCCCCCTCCATACAGCAGTGGGGGGGAGCTGGGGCGACTAATCATTCACCCTTTTACAAAACAGATACAACCCTTAGGGGAATGTCTATTTCACATTAACTATAGCTGCAGGGTGTTCTCCAATGTAGCAATCCCACCCAAACAAAGACCCCTGAGGGACTTGTAGAGTATTATGGCATCCAGGACAATAAAAGAAGCAATAGTGTGCTATTGTTTCATTATTTGATAGTCCTTTGAACAAAAATAACACGTCTATAATATAAGTCTTAGAGCAAATCAATCTGGTAAAGGAGGGTGTGTCTTGGGGTGGTTCTGGACAAGAAAGAGTGACACCAAAAGCACAAAACCAACCTTGTAATGTCTGATAGATCCCCCAATATAGCGCAGGCAGTTCTTCTCTTTCTCATGCCCCTTTTACACCGGCAGTTGTACAGCGGGCTCTGTTTGAGTGCGTCCATGGCGCTTCGGCATTCGTCCTTGGCCTCCAGGCCGGCAACCATACTGAAGTTGCTCCCTTGCCGCCGGCCACGCACTGCCTCATCGTGCGGTACTTGGTGCTGCACGCCTGCTCCTTCAGGCACTGCTCACGGCCCTGCCACAGTCCAGCCGGGTGGCCCCAGCACGCAGGTTCTCCTCGGCATAAGACAACACATCTGGAAGCAGAAGTGACATTTATATAATAATAATAATAATATAAGTAACAATCTCCTTTGTCGGTTGTTTGTTCAGTAAATATTCAGATCTTAGCCACTTTGCAAGCTGTTCAGGGATTAAATATGACAGATATCAGCTGCAGGCTATCCAGTGACATGAAAACACATCTGTGACGCCACTAGGATCATTGCATATCCACTTTGATTAAAAGCCGTTTCATACTTGACAACTTTGTGATCCACAGCTATAGTTTACTGGCAGTTCCATCATGCTGAGGAAAACGTGCTTTTACGTCACTATTGTTGGATTAGGCAGCGACAGCTGATTGTCGTTGGAAGCAGTTCGGACCACTGTACAGTGGGCTCTTCTCTGCGTTACCCAGAATCAGTGAGCAGCCGCTGTCTCTGCTGGCTCCCCCTTATTACCGTAAGAGACAATTAACCACTAAATGTTGTATGTAGTCTACGTACGTATGGGATGAATTTGTATCAAACGTACTGCTGTTGGTGCTCATAATTAAAGTGAAACTCACCTAAAGAGGCAGAAGGACATACAGTAACGCGAGGGTCATCGTCTTCCTCTCCATGTGAAACATAAAACTTGTTGGAACGAAATTTGCGAACTAAAAGCGACTTAACAGTAGTTTAATTCCAGGGTAATCCACTGTATTGAATCCATTGAAAAGACGTAGCCGTGTGCGCTCCGCTGTACAGAACAGATCCAGCACGCCTCATGCGAGAAATAATCTCCTGCAAAAAGTGTCCAGTCCCGATTCTGCACAGTCTCTCTGACTCTAAGTAGTCTTTACAAAAAGAGAAGTGATTCTTTCTTCTTTCTTTCCCTCCCGTGCGGGTGGTCTTACCGCCGGGAGACAAGACAAGGGGATCAGAGCAGCGGTGGAAGCGAAACGGGCGAGTGTCCTCCAACGCCAGCAGGGGATGCTTGCGTCTGTGCGTCTGAGCGCACACAGCCAACTGGAGCCCCACTGCTGTCTCGCGCATTCAGCAGCGGGAGAGTGCCACTTCCCCCTCGCACTAAAGTACTGTAATCTTATCATACATTTACAAATATATGCCTTCCTATCACAGCAAACTTGTTATGGTAATATTGCAATGGGAGCACAGAAAACACACAATTAGTTTTAAGCTCACTTAACTTTCTAATGAGCACCGGAGACATAAATCCCAGTGGATAGACAATATCACAGGGATAATCATTTTTGAAGGGTTACCATACTGCTGAGTTGCACACTCACAACAAACCTCTTAGGGTTATTAGTCTTTCTGGTGTTTAATTTGACTAAACTTTCCATCTTACATACTCACACAAGTTAGGCTATAGCCTATATATAGGCCCATGTAGCCTATAGCCATATCACTGTTACAGTCCATTAAAATGCACATCGGCATAGCCAGATAACCACAGATGGCATGTTGTTGCATTTAAGATGTTGAAACCACCACTGTCAACTCTTGATGTGTGTGGGCTGGTTTTACATTTCAGTGTAGCTGTGCTGACAGGAAGAGGGCAAAGAGCACGACTCAAGTGCATTTTTATGGCTTAATATAGCAACTTGCGGAGTAGCTTATATGGCAATTAGTTATATCGGAATCCCCTTCTAAACTGGAGTAGCCTGCCACTCGTCTTGAGTGACAAATGGACATATTTAATGGAGTGAACGTCGCTCACGGAGCCTATTCATGATATTTCAAGCATGTGCCTGGCTCCTCCCTGTTTGCTATAATGTTCATACCATGTGCAACTGAACACAAACAAAGTGTTATGCAACAGTGTGCCAAACTACAAAGAGTATAGGGTGTTGATGACACACACCAGGGGTTATGGGCCATCTTTTTTAAAAAAAAAACACTTTTCAACAAAAGCAGCCTGACAGCGCAGCGCTGCGCTGATAAATCCTGCACACACAGAGGAGAGTGGACACCGTGCGTCTGTCGCCATCTGTTGGCTGTTAAAAGTTATCATACTAAACCCCTTTTGATACTTTTAAAGAATACTACATTTTTCACGCTCGATAGTTTATTTTGGGAGTCAAAAAACCAATAAGAGCATCACACTTCCAAACATCTATCTGATTGGTGTATTATCAAATGACTTGAAATCTAACAAACAACGCCTGATTTTAATAACAGGGATGATGCATCATCCGACTTGTAACATTAACTCTTCCTATAGCTCATTGATTGCTTATAGGGTCTATTCAGAGGCTAATCCACTTGGCTAAATACATGGGACCAGACTATGTCAATGAGCCTCTCCCTGCATTATTAAAGACTGGGCCGAATCAATCAAGGATGCACAGTAAATCAACTTTACACACACACAGACAGACAGAGGTGGAGGGGGGAGAGAGCTGGTTCATTCAGAGATTGGATTAAATACCTCATTTGAACGTCAGAGAAAAATCCCTTTTTGAAAAGTAACCTGTGATTAGGTAAGCACGACGAATCACTCCTGCAAGGTAACTTACAGTCACTTTTCAAAATTACTTTCAATTTTGTTAAATAGATATGCCACAGGCCATTGTCCACAGCTATTTCTTTTTATAATAGGCTATGACTTGGGGGGGAAAGACAGAAAGTGTTTCCAAATGAATGACAGGCTCAGGCTTCTATATCTGGGCTAATTGTCTGCTTGCAATTTGATGACTTTGCTGTTCTGTAGTCTCCAAAGGGAGCCTTGCCAGTCAGGGGAACGGCTCAGTCTGGTGATTTATGAAAAGCCTCAATCAATATGCGATATTCATTTTGCAAATGAATGTCACTATGATGTAGTCCTTGGGTCATTTAACGTTTCACACTGTAATGTGCTCCATGGCACCGGATCAGAATGCTTTTTTCCTCCTGTACCAGTGGTGAAAGGAGAAAATTGGTCAAAGTCAGGAATTGTGTGACAAATGTTACTGCAGCGGGTCTCAGTGGATTACTGTTGAGAAAGCGGTCTGTGCAGATACAGCAGTAACACGTTCAACACTCAAGTGGGAGGTGATCAATGACAGTCTAACGTTAACTTAATGTATGACCTAAGGTGATCACTGTTAGCTAACACTGCTTATCAACAGCAGACAGCAATGGAGAATTAAAAAAAAAGAAAAAAGTCAGACGTTAATTTAACCACTTATAACAGAGTTTCCACGTGGATTAGACACGCATGTGATGTGGGAGGTCTGGGTTCGATTCCCACTGCCTGAGCAAACCCTAGTTTGCTCCAGATGCATGCAAACTCTTGACATATATAACAGTAGTATTGTACGGTACAACTTTGGATAAAAGCGTCAGCTAAATGAGTAAATGTACTGCAGCTGACGTTAACTAACGTTACAAATAATATTACTGGTGCTAGCAATTACCGGGACTTGACTAATGTAACTTAGCAGCACCACAACAAGCATTTCCGGCATTTTTTTTTTGTCTGTTTCACAAAACTGCGCATGTCAAAGTAATAAATAAACAAAATAAAATATAATGGTTCATCTTTTATCAGGAGTATTAGTCTTATTTGCAATGTAAAAAACAAACAAACAAACAAACAAACCGTTGTCAGGTGCAGGGTAACTTCGTCATTGTTGACAGCTGCATCAAAGGCAACCTTAGCTAGTTAGCTACAGGCGACAAACTATTGTTGGTTAACTTTAACAGTTACAGTAGAATCTATTCCGTAGACTTACAATGAGTTTAGACTCACTCTTTCATCAAATCCTTCTGACTGAACAACAATTAACTGAGCAGACCCAAAAACTCAAAGAAGGTAACGTTAACTGACATTTTCAGCTAGCAAACTAAGCTATAAATATAGCTGTCAGCTAAGTTAACAGTTAGCAGGTTAGCAGTGAAAACAATTACAGTTTGCTGTAACTTATGGACTTTATTTCAGAAGCTTTATTTGTTCTATTTGTTGGGGGTTGTTTTGGTTGTATACTTAAAATATCTGTCTGTCATCTGTAATGTTATCTCTCCTAATGTTGCCTAACCTAGCTTAAGGCAGAGGTTCTCAAACTTTTTCACATCAAGGAGCCCCTAAACTCACACGACTTAGACCACAGACCCCCACAGTTGTTAACTGTGTGTTAATAATAGACCTGAAATCAGATTTTAAGTGGCAAGAATAGAAAGACTGGACAGCAGAGCAGACAGGTGTTGTGTCGAAAAGTGATTGCAGTCCGCGGGAGCGCGCACGCAGCCTGTTAAAGCTGTATCTTTTTAAAGTTAGTATTTTTACGTCTACAGCTGCTTTTATCTGGATCAAACAGACATAACGTGCAAATAAACATCACTTTATGTACGTGGTAATACCAAAGGTATGTCTTTCTGATACTTTAACGTTTCTTTTAATGGAATAATCACAAATGTGGCCAAATAAGTTTTGTTTATAGCATAACCAGGCATGACATTTACGCGATTATCAATAATAGTTTGTTGTCGTTGGAATATTTATTTGGTTGGCCTATATGTCTAATACCCCTGTTTATTTTTGGAAAACAGACTGTAGCCTATAATTAACATGACTGACTGTTGAGTTATAAAATAAAGACATGATCTCTTTTGCAATTATCCTTATGACTCTGCATTATTTTACTTTAACAAATCCAGTTTACCGGTTGAAATACCTTTAAATGGCCAATACAACCCATAACATGCAGTATTCTACTTGCCAGAAAGTGATTGCAGCCTCTACTTATTCACTAAAATGTAGTTTCTACCTCAAAATGTTATATTTGACAGATTACAAAATATGAAATTGTCCCCCTTTTTTATTTCATATATAATAACATTATATTTTTTAATCACATACTGACTACCAAAGCAAAAATGTCCCCGGTTTTCATTTCAGAAAACTGGTCATCTTACTGTAACCCCCTCAAGGAGCCTTGAGCCACTTTGAGAATCATTGCTTTAAGAGACTCTTCCCTCTTAACCAACCACATTTCAGCTATCTTAGGGGTGACCAGACATCCCTGTTTTCTGGGGACAGTCCCCGGTTTTGGTGGTCTGACCCCGGAAATGTCCCTGTGGGTTAATCATAGTCTGTATAACGTGTTAACAGACCTGAATCGGATTTTACGTGGCCAGAAAGACTGGAAAGCAGAGCTACTATTTATCTACTTAATTACTGAAAGGTTATTGCTGCCCTGAAATGACTTGATTATATTCATGAGGTTTATATTTGACAGATTATAACTCATCTAGTACTTTTTACCTCTTAAAATACCTTTAAATGGCCAATACAACCCATAACATGCAGTATTCTACTTGCCAGAAAGTAATTGCAGCCTCTAATTATTGACTAAAATGTTGTTTCTGCTTCAAAATGACTTGATTTTATTCAGAAAAGTTATATTTGACAGATAAAATCGAAGCTATATCCTTGAAGCAAAAGTGACATTTAAACACTCATTTGTGTTGGGTTGCTCAGTGTTTTTTTTTAAATCTTTTGCTGGTCATTAACAAATCATGCATCTTTATTTCAGTCAAAGTAGCCATCATCAGATGTAATGAGAAGATCAAGAGCGCCACTGAAAGGTATGAAAAGACCAATGAGGAACTTAATAAAAAGGTGAGGCTACATTAAAATGTGCTTTTTCTTTATAATTTCTAGTATAATTATGAAAACATATTGTACTGACAAGAGGAGCAGCCATGACACAGTGTGTAAAGTATGCCTACACAGATGTCTTTTGATACAGTATATGATTTGAGCAGGCTGCGATTGAACTGCCAAAAGCATTGTTGTGTAACACAAAATGGTGACCTACAATACACTTTAATAGACGTTTTTAGCAGGTTTATAATATACTTTGATGATTTTATCAAGTTTTAACAGCTTTTGCCATATATTAATGCGATTTATAATTGTTGGAGGTTCTGGTAGGTTGTCACCAATTGCAATACTGTAAATAAGCGATGAAAGTGACTGTCGCCTGTTCAATGGTGCAGGTGATTTATAATAGAACAGCCTGATATTTGCACAGTCTGGTACTCATTTGCATGATGGCATATCATGCAGTTTGACTTTGAACCGTGCCTCTAGATACAGTAAGTGTTCATCTGGGGTTCTTGCACAAGGAACAGTCACTGTGTGTGAAGTACTGGTTAATATTTTACTATTTTGCCTGCGGTGTCAGGAAGGAAATATATAATTTTTTACTGTGTGTCCAATAGGAAACCTTTATAAAAATGAGAGATCATTGGTTGGTTTATATTGTAAATGTGTAACGTTTGTTGTAAAATGTAAAAACAAAGAGATAAGAAAAAATAAGAACAATAACAGTAATAATTGCTTTACCTTGAGGCAGCAGACAGTGGCATTGACACATGAGGTGAAGTAGTGCATATTGGCATATTGATCAGCTGATCTGCTTTATGATTTAAAACACTTAATTTCTCCCATTCATTTCATCAACAGTGCAAACTGCAAGTGCCACTGTAAAATCAATGGCTAATTTCCACCGGATAACATTAGTGAAACCTTTTAGCATGTGTGAGATATGATGTCAAAGGCAGGCTCATTGACCTTTCAGAAATATTGCTAACTTCTTCCTGTGCTTGTAAAAGTGGACATCTGATCAAAAGAGCAAATTGCTAGGTCTAATTTGAAAGGTTGCTCAATACAACACTATATCTGAGTATTATCTGCCTGAGAACACACGGCACGGATACCTTTTCTGTGTACACCATACAGATACGCTGGGTGTGTTTACAGCACAGCGTGTTTACAGCTCTCATTATGTAACACCTTACAGTTTATGAGAGCTGTCTTAAGATAATTACAGTGTTTAGAAAAGTTGGAAGCTGATTGTGCTTACTGAAAATGCACTGTCCTCCTCCACTACCATATAAGAAACAATAAACTCACTTCCTCCTTGACAGCTCGAATAACAGACTAAGAACTGAACTAAACGTCGTGTCTGGGGCATCTTTAAAAAGCATCCTCCATGAATGTACCTTCCTACATAATTTGGCAGTTTTCTTCATCTTCCGATGAAGACACAGGAACTAAACAAGAAAAGTTTGAATGTAAGTGATATATACTGATATGTTGAAAAAGAAACCTAGACGCCCACGTTTTTAAAAGTAGTTAAAAAATGGGTAATTTCTGTTCACCATTCCCCAGTAAGGGTCACAAACGTGTCTACTTTACACAGTATACACAGCTGCCCATCTGTGGAATCACTAACATGTCTTTCACATATCAGCAATGTACGTCCCTCTCACTACATCTGTCTGTCAGATTGTGCGTCTTATCGGCCTGCTCATCTATTTCTGCTCCAGGCCCAGCAGTTGTCTGCGATGAGGCTGCAGCATGATCTGATGAAGAAATGTGCAGACCAGATGTCGAAGCAAATTGAAGAGCTGCTCTGCCAGAAGAGCCACCTCGGGGAACGGCTAGTGGGTTGAAGCCTGAATCAATATTTACATTTCATAGCTTATTGGTTACGTGTAACATGAATACCTGGTTAACTTTTATAGTCCAAACTATGTAGATGTACAAATTAACCCCTCAACCACCACCGCCTGAACCTCCTTTGGAAGCTCTTCAGATTTTGTAGTGTCCATTATAAACAAAATATGTAAACCTGCAACTAACAGATATTTGTTTTCATAACCAATTAATTTGTCTATTTCTTTTTTGATTAATCAATTAATCATTTAGGCTATAAAATGTCAAAATCGCCCATTGCAATGTCCCAGAGCCCAAGTTGACATTTTCATATTACTTGTTTCGTCTGAACCTCAAATGTAATCAATGTACAGATATAAAAACATCAAATCCTCACACTTAAAAAAGCAAGAACAAGTGAATGTTTGAGTATTTGTATTAATCAATTATCAGAATGTTTGACGATAAATGTTCTACCAACCAGTTAATAATCAAGAAATTGTTTTAGCTCTTGGCCCACTGAAGTGAGAATAGCCACCGCATTCCTTCAAAGGCTGTCATAGTTGTCAAAAAGTGTTGTGTAGCTGATCCCAGATACACGCTGTTGTGTGAACACAGTCCATGGAAACTCACCCTGTGTCTTTGTGTATGTTTTGAAACACAACCGCATGAAACCGCTCAATGAGCTCATAGTAAGATCATATTTTCTCGATTAATCGATTAGTTGTTTGTTCTATAAAATGTCAGAAAATGGTGAGAAGTGTCAATCAGTCCAAGATAATGTCCTGAATTGTAAAATATTCACATTTAACAAGCTGGAATCATAGACTTTTTACCTGTTTAAAGAAAAACAACGACTCAAGCGAATTAATCGTTTATCAAAATAGTTGGCGATTAATTTTACAGCTCTGCTCTTGACTTTTAAGATTTCATCATACTTTTATCATTAAAATCACTTATAGTAGCAGTAGTAGAGGTCGTTGTAGCATCACAAGAAGCTGTGTTTGTATTATCGTTGGGAGCATTTCACATGATACGTCTTTTCATACCAGGCCAAGATAAAGAGGGAGTCTAAAGAAGAAGAGGAAAACTACCTTCAGGAGATCTCAAGGTTCAACAGTGACTTCAGTCTTCGAGGGAACAGAGAGATAGTGTTCGAGAGCCAAACACACGCTGAGATCCTGGACCTGGAGAGGGAGGTGGAATCATTGTACAAAGGTCTTAAAAGACAGATAATTGGACTGTTTTCACAGAGGTTATATAACACAGATGTGGCCCTGACTGCTCATTTTTTTTAAATATTATTACATTTTTGGTATATTATACAGTACAGGATAAGTGTAGTAAGCAGATGAATTATTAATGACAGGTCTTGTTCACAGCGTAGTAGTCAGCATGATTTCAGGAAGAATCTGAATTTAAATGATGGTGGGTGGAGAATGAAAGTAAAACTGTAGTAATTATATTCACTTCTGAATTGAGTGAAAATTAATAACTGTCTGTACTGTATAATTAATGCAAGGATGTTGTGTGGGTAACAAAATAAGGGGTGCTGGAATGTTTTGGAATAGGCTTTGGAAAGAAAACTGTTTATCACAACGAAAAAATACTAAGAAATTAAAAAAAATAATGTTTGAAATTCTGTCCATCTGGCCAGTAAGTGTGCTAAAACAAATCAGGAAAATACATTCAAGTCTGGCATGAAGTCATATAATTAATACTGAGTTGATCATTGTATTGGGTTGAAGGTTGGATGCAGGTGTGTGCCAGGTACCTGCTAAATCTATCTTTTCTATCCCAGTGTGTACAGAAATATACACAGAGAAAAAAAAGACAGCATTAACTAACTAACTAAATTCACACATAGCTTAAACCTACTCCTGGATTAAACAGAATAGAGTTATAACTGATAACTATCACCCGAAGGACTGACAATCTTAACACACAACTAAATACAGTTAGATTTTCTAGATAAAATTTAGTCCAGGACTTGGTTTGCTGTGTGTCCTCACAAACCAGCCCCAGTCCCTAATTTCATTCATGATATTAAGTGCCGCTCACACTAATAACGTCTTGCCTCTGCAGCACTTGCGCCATCACCACCCCACGTTGGGTAGAATGCAGTTTTATGAAGACAATTTTAACATATGGGTAGGAAATCAATGCATAGTGTGTTTAATTTAATCATTACGTTTAACCAATAAATATTATCTAGTGATAATTTGCACAGATATTGCAGTGGCAATGGTTTAAAGTGTAATATATCGATTCCAGCAACTTTTAATGAAAAACAAGTTTTCATTAGTTACACACGAGTGAGGGTATACTGTAGCTCACATAACCGATGAGGACCAGTGTCTTCACATTATTATATCTGGTCTCAAGAGAACAGCATTTTCTGATTGTTTGTACATTTAAAGTGAATTTCAAAAATGCCCACATTGCAGTACTTTTACAAGTTTTCTTTCATTTAGCAGTATAAATTCAATATAAAGTTCTGCCCTCCTGGTGATTTTACTCAGTGATTCTTGGTGCCAAATTAGGATTTTGTCTTTTTTCCCTCTACAATCAGAGATGGAGCTGATGAGCCGCAGCAACAGCCACATGAGCTCCATGCAGGAGGAGAAGAGAGCACTGCAGCTCAAACTACAGGACCTGGATAGCATCCAGAAAGGTGAATACCAAAAGATCCTTTTATGTTAGATAATGTGGTTCTGAAAGAGCACGTGTAAATCTGCTACACTCTTCACACCACCAACTGACAGCTTTTCTTTTTTTGCTTCTGACTCAACACACTTTACAAGCTCCTTTATTGTTTCCTTCACACTGCCAATAGCAGACCATCCATCTTCCAGCTTAATTTGTAACATTATCTGTTAAATCAAAGAGAAAAAGAGAATTCCACCACACTGCTAAGACACTTGTACGGTATCTGGAGCACAGATGTTGAACATTAAGTATGTTAGTTTCTGGCTTCATGACCAGGTTGGAAGGAAGGTCAATGAAGGTGCGAAAGACGCTATTTTAGTTTGTGTCACTCACACATGTAGTATACAGTAAGCATTTTTAGCTCAAGGCTATACAGGTTTAGCTGTGTTGGGAACGAAATAAAGACTGCATTGTTGTGGATGTGTTGCTGCAGGTACAGGGTTTAAATCTGAAATACTTTCCAGGAAGTTCAGTTTGAGTAATAGATCCATAAGTTTAAAGGCTTATCATGGGGCAAAACACAGCACAGTGGTTTATAATACTGTGAGACATCATTTCACTTGATGATTGTGAGGTGAAAAGCATAAAACACTGTACATGGCAGCATTGTGCGCTTACACCTAATAAAAAGTTGAGCCGTGTTGAACTTTTTTGTCAACTGACCCTGAGACGTGTGGCCCGCTGTCTTCTGGTCTGTGCTCAAAGAGTTGCCTGGAGTTAATAAAAAGGTTGTATTTTGTGACATAGTGCTCATGTCAGTCGGAACAGAGCATCTCCTTTAACGTTGGGGGGATCCAAAGTTTGTCCCATTGTTTCAGCCACCTCGGCAAAAGTCTTAACAATGCAGCTACAGTGTGTGTCTGTCCTGTTTGCGGAAAGTCATTTTGTGTTTGATTCATTACTCTTGACAACAGACCTGGATCGGCAGTTCGCTGAGGCTAAAGCAATGACAGAGACTCTGAGAGCGGAGAGGCTGTTTGTCAGTCAGAAACCTCTCACTGACAGCACCTGTCTGAGGTGAGTGTCATCAACTGTCAGGATGCTGAGGGAGGTTTATATATTTGGACACACAGACACAGTACCTGCCTTACTTGCAGTTACATTATGTCACAGAACATAATCATTATGACACACAAAAGAGTAACGTAAATACTGCAGGGAAATACATGCGAATAAAACACAAACGAGCAAAAGAGAACAAAACAAAATGTAAACACAGCAGTAAGCTCTTTAGCAGCACATAAAACACGTTATTTCACAGAGCTTCCTGTTATTTTAAATATTCCTTGGTGAGCAGCTATGATATGTAATTAGTTGAGCATTTGTTTTTCTGGTGAGAGTCAGTTTACAAAAGTGCAGTCACTGTCCTCTCCTCACCAGAGTTCTGTGTTTTTATATAGTATAACCTCAGTATAAAATTCATCTCGGTAAAAGCACTAATAACCATGGTCACTCTTGTGATGTTAAATGCACTTAGAAAAAGACAGGAGAATCACACTCTCAACGACACAACGCAGCATCCCGCAAGCCCATTAGATGTTATTAGCATCTAGTTAGTTATTAACAAAGAGCAGAAATGGATCTTTTTATTTATTTATTTAATTTAATTGAGAATAGGCAGCAGCATAAATAACACAGGAGCAGACAAACATAAAACATAAAACAATTTAAAATGAAAACAAAGAAACTGCACAATAATAAGATTTCAAAGCATTCAAAACATCTACAGCAAGACGTAGCTGAGCCAAGAAATTTCACTCACGAGTCCACTGAGACTGTGTTGGACTCCCACTGTGAGAAGTGCTGAATAGACCGGTAAGCCCAGCTCACGTCTCTGTTTCTCGCTCTGTTTCCTGCTGGCCCGACTCCAAATCTAGAAGTGTAAATAACAGAGCATTAAGACCATTTGGCTTAATTAAGGCTTTGATCTGCAGTGTATTTCATTCAGTCAACAAGTGGGAAAAAGAAACTGAGGCTAATGTGATTGATACGGGGAGCTTTATAAGGGGAAATGAATGAGGTGCGGACAATTAAGCGGTTACACTGAATGCTTATCCAGCAACTTACCAGCAAATAAATACAGTTTGATTTTAGTGGAATCATACATCATGTGTTAACTGGAAAAATTCAACTTTTATATGTAAACTAGCAAATGGAGCAACCCAAACATCATTTTACAATATTAAATATACAATATTAGGAAACATAAGTAGTACAGTATATGTATTTAATTAGATATACAGTACATATGGAATTTCCATAAAAAACTTGAATTAACAATGGTAAGAGGCAGCTGTGTGTGCGTGTCACAAAATGAAGAGCAATACATAGAGAAACACCATCAAATAAGACAGATGGATAGCAGTAGTCAGCTTATTTTTGGAGCTCTAGAGAAAACAGATATGTGAAGCCGGTGCACACTGAAAGTGTGAAAATGTAATAGTTGACGCTTTGTGAGTTTCAACTCACAGGGAACTTTTATTCAGGTTCCTCTGTTTCCAATTTAAACTGTGAAATTAAGTATATATAGTTCATTATATGTTTTTTCTATTCAGTGGTGACAATTACTGGGGCACATTGTTCATTTTACTGTTTTACGTTAGTATCTGCACTCTCCCTTGTTCCTGTTGTTTTATTTGGAGTTTTCTTTTCTGAAGTGCAAATGATACTGTCAGCGCCTGCATAGCTGTGGGATACACTGGGCTATAGTCTTTCCTCGGGAAGTCTGAACATGTTGTTTTATGCCTTTTGAATTGGTCTGTAAAGTCCTGTTAGATCAATCGTCTTAGTAAGGTTCTCCAAAACAACTTCAGGGTTTCTTGGCATAGATTCTCAGACGTAGTCTCTGAAGCTCTTCTGGAGGGATGAACACCGTTCCTCCAAAAGATAATCCCTTGTTTGGTGATTTATTGATGGTGGTGGAGAGCACTGTCTCTGTCCAAAATCTCCTCTAGTGTTCAATCGGGCTGGGATCTATCGCCTGTGAAGGCCATAGCATAGCATAGATTCACATAATGTTCGTTCTCATCAAACCATTCAGTGACCCCTCGTGTCCTACAATATATGGAAACATCTGTATTAGTTATGCATGTCCACAAATTGATTTCAAATTTAATTAAATTGTTACCCATCGTTATGGGTAAACACTCACATGTTTCTTATCTCCTTAGATTCAGGCATCCAAACATTGAACAATGGGCACAAATAAAATACAACAGCAAGACAACTGCCTGCTCATCACAGTAGAATATGAACCATAGTTCCTTCCTTTGCTGAAACATGACTGCTAGAAGAGTGCTGGTCCACCTTGTTTCTTCACAAAGAGACTTCCTTTATTTAATTAAAGACCGGAGATCAATACTGTTCCAGGAAGGAAGGGTCATTGTTATTGCTGATGCCGCTACTTTGGGTAATGTCTTCTCCACAATACTATGATTGTGAAGTGATTGACAAATCCTCAAACCTATCTGGAGTTTTTTTTAAATCAAAGTATAACTCCTTGAAAAATCAGATTTGTTCCAGTACTTCATTAAAGGTGTTCTCATCGTGCCTGTTATTAGGACGAGGTACAAAACAGGCTGAACATGCTGTAGTTCTTGCTTTCATTTTCATCTGTTTGTTTTGCTCAACCTCATTTATTTTTCTCTGCCCCATGTTCCTTTTTCTGAGCCCTCCGCCCTCTCCCGGCATTGCATTAAATCATGCATGTGAGTAGCATGTCCCTGTTCATCCATCAGCATCATTAAACATACTGGGTCCTTCATTATCCCCGGACTTATTAGCCTCAGGAAGTGCTGAGGATGTGGCTTTGGAAGAGAGAGGCCTCCTCTCAGTCGTTCTTATGATCATCCATTCTGAACTGAAACCATCAATCCTGTCTTCAGCCACTGCAGCGTCTCTTTAAAACGCATATTTAACTCTCCTCTCATTGATTGTTGGAAATTGAATGCATGTCAATTTGAACGAGTGCTACAGTCATTTAAAAAGTGTTCAGTGTGCAAAACAGGGTGGCTTCTGCTGTAGATCGTTCACTGTCACACATAGGAAGATACCTGAAATATTCTTTCAGTGTGCTTGAGATCGATAATTTAGGAATTATATGTATATTCTGATGTGTAGGATTTTCTTAATTGATATATTAGTGCTACATTATTTGTGAAGGCTCAGTTTAAGATGTCATTGTACTGCGTAAATCTAATATTAAACTGCAGAAACCACCAATATCCAAAACGCCGTCCTGAGTGTCTTGGAGTTGGAAACATAATTCTACTGTTTGAAAAACAGTATGCTTGCCTCAAAAATCTGATTTCTAAGTTCCACAGAGAAGTGTAAACTTTAAAACACTGCTGTTGGTTTTTAGACTGTGAAAATGCAATTGTAGCTCAGTAGTTTTTTTTTCTTTCATTAACTTTCAATAAAAGAAGGTAGCTTGCTTCAGGTTCATGTGTGGCTCAGTATAGAACCTTCAAACACCTGCCATAACAGTTAAATCACAGCCAAGGCATCGAGTACCACGGCCCAAAGTCCACTGCTTTTCCCAGAGGCAAACTGAACTGAGTAATACAATTGTATGTATGAAATATTTACTTTGCTAAGAGCGGACTGCTTTTAAAGACAGAATGAGGTTTTAGTCTGTCACAAAGGGACAGCAGTCTTGCAGCAGTTTTGGTTGATGCTTCCCTCTGCAGCCACATACCTGAACGCTACCAACCGGCCTTTGAGGTTTGCTCCAGTTGGGTGATTTTAATGTGAGAGACATTTCTAAACTTTGATTTATTGATGCCAATTCACTCTATGCTTAGTCATTTGTCTTTTGGGGCCTTCCGTATACCGTCACCCCTGCGCAGTGCACCCCTAGGGGAAAGTTTATTAAATACACAATAACAAGGACCTGACAACACTGACTGCAGTGTGTTCGAGCAGGACTGCAGGTCGTTTTTTCACACACAGTGTTGTATCAAAAACTGATTTTGAAATCTTTGCATGAACACAGCAGGGTTGCTCCTCAAACTGTTAATGTTACTTTTATCGTGGACAGTAGTTAGCCTCCGTCTTGTTTCTTCTGCTGTTTAGATTTAGCAGGCGCACCACAAAGGCTACATAGTGATATAAGGGATGGAAAGCTGCATGTTTGAAGAAGATCCACATGTCAAGTTTCACTAAACATCATAAATTCCATTTTTCCTGTTAGCTTGTAGTCGTAAAGCATTCTGGATAATAAGTCAACTGTCAAAGAACGGATAGATTTTGCCTGCTGTGGAAGTCGGGGTAAAGTTAAAACTGTAAACATCTTAGTGAAGTTGTTGTTGTGCATGTAAACAAACTGAAACTCTGTAATGCCATGGGAACTTCTGGGTAAATCTCTTTAAATAGAAACCAACTATTATCTCAATCTGGGTATTTACAAGAGTTGGGATATATCGTGCATGAGTGGTCTATGTCACTATAATCATGAATACCAATGTGAAAAGCAGTTTCATGTAGTACATTTGGTTTTGTTTATTTTCTCAGTGATAAAACACAATAACATGGTGACACCAAGTATAGTGATAGAAAGAAAACACATAAATAGGTTTAAACTCAACATTTAAAACTAAAAATGCTGATGCTTCTTTTTACAAGTTGCCTCTTTCATAATTCCTTTTCTTCCACCACACTTTCAGTTACTGACATGGGTTTCATTTGTTTACCAGGCTGAGGAAGGAGCTGGAGACGCATAAAGAAGGCGAGATCGAGCTTCTGAGAGAGGCGCTCAGCTCGGAAATACAGTTCCTGAAGTCAGTAAGTTACCGTGTCGTGAGCAAGGGTTTTATTCAGGCTAATACAAACTATTTTAGAAAAGACAGAGTCATTCATATCCCACAAGAATCAGACAGGATTACTTGCATGTCCAAATAAAATCTGCCAAGTCTAGCTAAGGGGTGAGAAAGGGAAGTTTAAAACTCATTCATGTCCATCTGCATTCTTAACTGGGTTCTTTGTAGACTTTCATTCAGTTGTTCAATTCTTTTATTTTCTATTTTCAGAAGCTGGACAGCAGCCAGGGAAGAAAGCAGCATTAGTTTTGGCACAGTGATGATACAGGAAGGTTACATTAATTCATTGATCATCTCTTCTGTTAAAAAACATACATGCTGATGAATAGACGGGAGCGAAAGGCTTGAAAGAAGTCAGGAAGGAAACAAAGGGAGGGACGTGTGAGTGTGTGTGTGTGTGTTCTTTAATATTTACCTAAAAAGTTACATGAAAAGAGCAAATTTCGTTCTGGGAGTCTTGTTAACAAAATGTTAGAGTTGACACTTGTAAACTGTTAGTGGAAAAGCTGATACAAAATAGACATACAATATCACAATTGATAAATCTTTTAAGTGAAATATATTTTTTCTTTTACATTTCATTTTCAAGCTATACACTGCAGGTCTGTTTTTACCTTCAAGTAGTTGTTTTAATGAGAAAATGTAAGCTTTTTATTACTAATTTAGTTGCTCAGGACAAACAACTAAGCTCATACACATGCCTTGTGAACAGAATGACATGTGCGTCATCCCTTGCAAATAAAGGAGGCATTCAAAAAGTGATTTAATACTGCCCTCTAGTGTACAAAGAGTAACATTGCTATAATGGGGGTTGAGTCAAAACAGATGCTTAGAGACTGAATTAGCATTGAACAGCATGTAATTCAGTCACTGACATTGGGAATAATGCAATAAAATAAAAGCACTTACTTACTTTCACTGCTGCAGTTATTCTGTCCAGAGAATATAACACTATTTGGCCAAAAGTATGTGGACACCAAAGCACATATATTTCATTTATTGTACATGTTATTCCAAAAACACATGGGTATTAATATGCTGATGTATATGGTGTTCTGGGAACTTGGCCGCAGGGATCCATCCCAATGCGGTCTGATACAGTTGAGGTCAGGGCTCTGTGCCGGCCAGTCAAGTTCTTCCTCATCAAACTGGAAAAAGCGGGGGGTTTTTATGAACCCAGTCATGTTTAAACAGGAAAAGGCCTGCCCCAGACTGTTGCCACAAACATAGAAGCTCAATCTTGTCGAAAATATAATTGTCTGCTCCTTAGTTGATGTGAATTAAGTTGTAGCCTGTCCTCTTCCAGGTCTCCATGGTGGAGAGGAGGTCTTGTGGCTCAGGTCAAGTTTGGCTAAGCGTTCTTGTGGATCCATTCTTCATAGATATTACAATCTGTTCTACTCTGTACACGTGTTTGTATGTCTGTCCATCCTGGGAGAGGGATCCTTCTTCCGTTTTTCCACGTTAAAGGGTTTTTTGGGGTATTTTCTTCCTTATCCGAATCGAGGGTCTAAGGATAAGAGGGTGTGCTGTACAGATTGTAAAGCCCCCTTAAGCAAATTTGTAATATTGGGCTGTATAAATAAAATTGACTGGACTTGACAATACTCACACTTGTTTTGTTTATATGTGAGTCAGTTACCAAGAAAAGCCCACCTTACCACTGCTCATCCCTCAGCCCACAGACGGTTATTTCCGTAATTGATGATTAGACAGTCTGTCGGCCTACACCAGAGGGTCATTCTGCGGGTCATTTTCTCCCTGATTAGAGTGATTCCTAATAGAATGATGTGGAATGTCAATGGCTACCTAATGAGATCCTGCAATCTCATTTTGACTTTTTAACCTTGATCTCAGTGAGCTACGTCTGGATGTGTTAGCGAAAACCGAGAGCAGACAGAACAGGAGTCCATTTGGCGGAGTAGTTAACCTCATTTCAACTGCTGCTCTCGTCGAGACCTCGCCATCAAGCACATAAACAATGAGTGACTATTAACAAAATGAAGTCAGAAGGAAAGCGGAGAAGATGGCAACCAGAACACTTGAAGCTGAATCCCTCCTTTTATGGAAATGCAATGATCCAGGCGTTTATCTTCAGAGAAATCCCCTTTAATACAAAGTGTTCGTGATTGAGTCATAGACTGTAGTACAGTCGCTGCCTCGCTGAAACAATACGGTTGTGTTTGCCGTGTTTAGGTTCACGTCATTTCCCACCAATGACTGGACCGTGGGGAAATTCCCCGGGATAGCGAATGTAGGGTTACTTAGACGAGTAATCCTCAATTTACGTTTTATTTTTCAGCTAAGGTGCATCCATGTAGCTTCTAACTAAATATATAAAGTAAAATCGGTCATTACAGGAGAGATCAAAATCTTGGGTCCTGCTTTTTCAAAAGGAAACGAGTCAGTGTCCTAAAATTGCCTTACCCTCAGACCCCATTAGTGGCAAAGGAATAGCAAACATGGCTGGAGCATGCAGTAAAAAGTCGGACACTGCTAAAGCTGCACTGCAGGAAAAATGGTAAACTGCATGTAACGACACTAAACTGAGTGTGTATAAATGCTAACAACCATTCAAGTACAGGAACACTTTTATTTTTGTGAAGTTAGTTTAACTTTCATACAGATTTGAACTGTTTCCACTTGCAAATACTTCATTTCTTGCTGCAACACCTCTGTCGATGCATTTTTCCACACTTGTTTCTACCTCTTGGTCATCCACATACAAGACAGGCATACTCTGGCTCTCCTTGTATGCCTTGATTCTTCAGCTCATTGGTAAAAACTTCCATGGTGCTGTTCTGCAGTTGGCTGCTGCTCTTGGTCGTTAGGCAGTCCTGATCTTTAGGAAAATACGCTGTCTGTGCTCCTGAAACTTGAATAGATTCTTCTAGAAACAGAGAGTAGGAAAAGTTCAACTTCACAACTTAACATAAAGTGCCGTGGTATAAATACAGTGGGGGAAATAAGTATTTGACCCCTTGCTGATTTTGCAGGTTTGCCCACTTACAAAGAATGCAACAATCTACAATTTTAATCATATGTACATTCTAACAGTGAAAGACAGAATCCCAAAGAAAATTCCAGAAAATCACATCATATGAATTTATAAAAATTGATAACCATCTGATGAGGAAAAACAAGTATTTGACCCCCTGGACAAACAGCATGTTAATATTTTGTAGAAAAGCCATTATTGGCGAGCACAGATGTCAAACGGTTTTTATAGTTGGTGACAAGGTTTGTGCACATTTCGGCAGGGATGTTGGCCCACTCCTCCCTGCAGACAGCCTCCAAATCATTCAGGTTCCGAGGTTGTCGCCTGGCAACTCGAATTTTAAGCTCCCTCCAAAGATTGAATTGGATTCAGGTCTGGAGACTGGCTAGGCCACTCCAGAACCTTGATGTGCTTCTTCAGCCACTCTTTTGTTGCTTTGGCGGTGTGCTTAGGGTCGTTGTCGTGCTGAAACACCCATCCTCGACCCATCTTCAGCTCTCTCACTGAGGGAAGGAGATGTTGGTCCAGAATTCCACGATACATGGCCCCGTCCATCCTCCCCTCAATACGATGGAGTTGTCCCGTCCCCTTGGCTGAAAAGCACCCCCAAAGCATGATGTTGCCACCACCATGCTTGACGGTGGGGATGGTGTTCTTTGGGTTGTACTCGGTGTTCTTTGCCCTCCAAACACGACGAGTTGAGGCCAAAAAGTTCTATTTTGGTCTCATCTGACCACATCACCTTCTTCCAGGCCTCTTCTGAGTCGTCCAGGTGGTGAATGGCGAACTTCATGCGGGCCTGTACATGTTTCTTCTTGAGCAGGGGGACCTTGCGTGCGCTGCAGGATTTCAATCCATGACGGCGTAGTGTGTTACCAACTGTTTCTTTTGTAACTGTGGTCCCAGCTGCCTTCAGTTGATTCATCAGTTCCCCCCTTGTGGTTTTGGGATGATTCCTCACCGTTCGCATGATCAGGGACACCCCACGAGGCGAGATCTTGTGTGGAGACCCAGACCGAGGGAGGTTGGCGGTGGTGTGGTGCTTCTTCCATTTCCTGATAACTGCACCGACAGTTGATCTTTTCTCTCCAAGTTGCTTTCCGATTCTCTTGTAGCCCATCCCAGCCTTGTGCAGATCAACAATCTTGTCCCTGATGTCCGTAGAAAGCTCTTTGGTCTTGCCCATGGTGGTGATGTTGGATGCTGGTTGTTTGGGTGTTGACAGGTGTCTTTTATACAGGTAACGAGGTGAGGCAGGTGTATTTGATGTAGATAATTGGTTGGGATTGGGGCTGTGTCTTAAAGAAAGACTAACTGGCTTGTAGGAGCCAGAATACTTGCTGTTTGGTAGGGGGTCAAATACTTGTTTTTCCTCATCAGATGGTTATCAATTTTTATAAATTCATATGATGTGATTTTCTGGAATTTTCTTTGGGATTCTGTCTTTCACTGTTAGAATGTACATATGATTAAAATTGTAGATTGTTGCATTCTTTGTAAGTGGGCAAACCTGCAAAATCAGCAAGGGGTCAAATACTTATTTCCCCCACTGTATATAATGTCAGTTTCCTCGTACAGACAGTTTAAGACTGAAGAAAAGTAATAAAACGTAGCCACACTGAATAAGTACTTTAGGTCCTGCTTTGGACTTATCAGCAAAAAGTTATTAGATGCAACTCATATTAGTTAAGAAAACACAGCCTTACTGTTGCACACAGCCAGCTTGTTTCCTCCCACGTACTGGGTATCCCATTTATGTCCTGTCTGCTGGCTGCATTCATCATACAAACGACTCCTCCTGATAAAACCAAAATCGTAACCCTGTGAAAGAAGACTTGCATTACACTACTCATCCTTTTTGTCATTGTCGCACAGAAATATGTACTTATTATGACATGTTTTTATTAATATATGTTAAATTGTATGTACCACTTACATGGTTGCACATAGGTTTGCAGTAGCGCTTGTTGGCAACTGTGAGACACGCCAAACCTCCATTTTCTGGAACTTCGGCTACAGGGCATTCCTTCGGCTCAGCATCTTGACATTCTGTAAATGACTGATTATTTTATAAACGAGGAATATAAAACATTTCAACAGATGTCCATTTTGGGTGTATATATCGTTTCTTGTTTCTTTTGTCATCTAGTTATTGTTCGGGCCTAAGCCCTACACTTTACTGATTGTTCTGTTAAACACCAAAGAAATCCACATTCAGTTTGATGAAATCTAGAACTGCTGGAACGGAGCGTGTTTTTTATTCAGTAGGCTAAATGTCAGGCTTATATGAAAAACCACTTCAGCATTTACCACCTGCAAGAGTCCATCAGCAGAAATGACACCACAACACTTAAGCTCAATCAACGACAAGAGCAACGTCAATAGACAGCAGTCGTTCTGTTTGCCAGGCAGAGTTCACTTAATTCAGTGCGCTTTAACAAATGTGATAAATGCGGTTTACCTTACTGCTCTTCATGAGCACTCTGACTTCCATCGTAGTCAGTGCAATGTACTTAAATATTTACTACTACTTTTAGGTTTCTATAACATTGAAGTGCAGTACAGTCTAATATTATTGATAGAGGAGCATCAACAAACCTATCCCTGATTGATTGGAACTGACCATGGCAAATTTGTATTTTAAATTTTTATTGTTTCTATGTCCAGATCAGGGACATCGGCAGGTACCTCTTGTGTGATTGAAACCGAACTGTTATCAATATGTTGATTTTCTAGCATAATGCATCCTTGTGAGGGAGGGGAAATTGGCGTGTGTTATGTAAAATCATAACCAGAAATTAACATATCATATCATATATACCAGAAATAGAGCAATAGATTCTGTTAAGATGAAGAAACATGTATTGTATTCGCCACCCTCAAACTTTCCTCTGTACCCCTTCAACAGGAAGCACCGCAACCTCCTGCCTTAACCCAGCCCTAACCCTCACCTCAATCTGAGCTTCATTCTAACATTAATCCTAAAGCCAACACCCCAGACGGCCCTTTGAAGACGTGAGAACCAGACAAAATGTCTTCACACTCAAGGTCTAAAACTGTAACTGGTCACTCAGATGAAACAACAGGAACACACATGTCTCTGGCTCACCCTCCTACCTTTCAGCTGGTGCTTGTGCAGAGCATCACTCAGATCCCTCGTGGAGAACAGTAGTGCAGCGGTCTGCTGTGCACTCAGATTTTCAACACACTGTGCCGCCACCTGTTGGTGAATATCAGACAGTACAGTTGTTTTGAGAGTGGCATGAAAAGGAAAAATTTTAAAAGAATTAAAAATATCAGCCGCAAGGTTAATGATTTTGTTTGTTTTCTTCGATAAACACAACGTGAGCTTCATTAATGTGCATGTTACAGCAGCTTTTCTGGTAGGACGAACATTAACAGTTTACCCTGAGATCAGCTGGTAGACGTTCAATGACCTGAGTTTGCAAGTTGCAATTCTGTAGTAAAGTTTCATCCTGCGCTGCAGAGAAGGACAAGGCTGCAAGCAAACATACACACACACTGCATATAATATCCAACCTTTCCAACCATCCATCCTTTTTTTCATATATAGTCCACATAGTTCACATCTATGTTCATGATCTCCATTACAGAGAAAATTAAAACCATGAGATTACCTGCTAGTGAGCAAAGCCAAGTAAGTGTTCCCTTTAATGCCATGGCTGCTGAATCTGAATCCTCTCTTTTTTGACCCAGAACTGAAGGCAGAAAACTGTGACAGGTGAATTTATTGAGTCAGTCTGTGGGGGCAAGGTTTACAGAATTGGTCAATACTGTGGCCTGCAGCCAAGATTGGAGTCCCTGAATTTCCAGCATTTCACAAACTCTGCAGAGGTATCACGAGGCTCTGTGTACAATTCAATTTGATTTGCTTTGCAACTGACTTACAGATATATCCAGAAGTTGTTGTTCTGGTTTCTTCTAATAATTAGTTGTTGTTCTACTAGGTATATAAGTGGCCAGGTCTCTTGAAAAACAGATTTTAATCTCAGTGAGACTTTTACCTGATTAAACAAAGGATATGTACTGTATGTCCCAGCTTTGTGCTGATGGGGGAGCTGGTAGTACAGACAAACTGTCGTAAATAGCCATTGTACTGTTTGTCTTCATGCAGGATGCCACTACTACTTCTTAGTTATGCACCCATTATGTTGCCAAATGTTGGTGTGAAATCTACACACACACACACACACACAGAACAGGCCATCAGACACACTATATGACTCAGTGTCAGTCAGTAAGTTGTGCCACGAAGGATGACTGTGTAAATAATTCACTGTGGATGTTATTCATTATGAATGTCTGACAATCTGGGAGCAAATGAATTATTGAAGCTTTTAGGAAGAGTGATTGAGCTCATTAACATAGAGAATTGCCTTTTTATGTTTGATTTGAGGAACAAAGATTAGTCCTCGAAATGTTCCTGGAGGGCTGTCATTATCTTCTTGTACTCTCACATGCTTCAATTCTTCACTGTTTTTTAAGTCTGGAATTCTTCTCTTGTGATCAAAGACAAAATAGAAAGTAAAGATTCCTTTAATGTCATGATGATACGCTATCCACAAATCCATGAATGAATTCAAAAACACAGTGAAATAATAAATTAATCAAAGCTTAAATCCATAACGTTCGGCATGTTGCGTTGGTTCAGAGGACTAGATGGCTGAGTTGTCGTGGAAACTTGCTGTTCATTTGCATCAGCTCTTGTAAACTTTGGGAAGAGCAGCAGCTAGTGAAGTTTGAAAGCCCCAGTTTATGCATGTAATCATTTTGATGCATAAAGCCATGGTGTGAAAACCTCTTCAAACATAAAAATACAAGGCCGCAGAAGATTCTCAGATATAGCAGTGTGAGTAATTGTAACTGCTGCTTGATAATGTTACCAGTCACCACGTGGTTTTGTATTCCTACTGGATGCATGACTCCCTGCCGTTCTTTGACGTTCTTCATCAGTTAGCATGTTAGCTCCCTCTGTGATCTCTCACTGTTTCAAAACGGCTTTACTGATCTTACAGCATCTGGTTAAAGGAGAACTCCACCGAAAACACGTGTAAAGTCTTTTGTGGCTCCAGAGGGAGCTGTGTGAAGTCTGCTCAAGTCCTCAAGTGAGGTCACTCGACAGTCTCTGGCCCAATCCCAACGTCCACACTCACAGACTCACAGACTTTGAGGCGCGTTCCCGGTAAGTCCGAGAGGTCTTAGGGCTGTCCCACTGTCAAACCTTTAAGTGCACGGGGGCTAGTCCACATTTCTGCAGACTTTACCTGAGGGAATTTCCCAAAGTTAATTGCGTTGTGACGTGAAACACTGGGGTTACCAGGGGACTCCCGGAAGCGAGAGAAATATCACTGCAAATCTGCCTGAAGAAGAACAGTAAACAAACAAGCATGAAAACCAACACTGATGTGAAATTGAAAGATTTAAGATGGTAAATAGAGCACATGAAGTCAGAGGAATGCAATCACCTTATTACACACTTAGTTTATTCAACTATTTATTTTAGTTTTTGCTTAATGATGCTGTTTTCACCAATAGCACACTGATTATCGAAAAATGTAGATTTACATTTACAAGAGCCTGCAATACCTAAAAATCAGGCAAAAACATCAAATAAGAAGTATGCAACGTGTTTAAGCGTCGTCAAGGTAACGTGATAATGTGGCAAAGTGGTGTCCCGTTCATGTCTACAGCATTTTGAGCCCTTGCAACCTCAATCACTTTCCAAGTGGCATCAGTAAAGTCCGTGAGGGCTTAGGGCTTAGGGGGGACATTGGGATTGGTATACAAATGGACACACTCACTAATCACACATAGGTACATTCAAACAGTGGGAAATCTACCTTGATACCTGCACATATACTTAGACACTGTGCACACCAATACAGAGCCAGACACGCACCTACAGAAGCCCTTTGTGACTGTGTTGTATAAAAGTGATGATGAATGGCGTGTATGATAGCAACACACTCTCCTCTCTGTCTAACCTTTTCCAAATACTCGTGACATTCTCCCCGCGGCGCTCCTTGTCTACCTCCCTCACAGGCATTGTGCTGAATTAGCCAGCCGTGGAAAATGGCTACTCTGTTGTCAAATGATTCACATGGATGAGTTGCAGAGAGCCGAGCAGTCGGAAGCTAATTGGTATTCAGGAAGACGCCGTGCTACCTGTTTCAAAGACTTTTCCTTTTTGGGAGTATCACTGTGCCTGCGGGGGAAAGTTTGAACACAATTGCGGCTGATGAATAGCTAATAACATCTATTAGCTCATTTTAATTACCCCTTTGCTTTTATCACAAGGCTGCTTTATTTTCTAAACACACTGAAGCTGCAGCAGTTCCAGATCATTTTAAAGGTGCAGCACACCGCCCTGTAAGAGCTTTTGTGAGATTAACGTGCAAATGCCTTTAGAAGCAAGGGTTTAACACGGATATTCAACCCTGAGCTTGTAAAGATACAGCCAGACTGATCTTGTCAGTTGAAAAAGGCTTTTCTGTCTAAACAAAAATCAAAGGGGAAGGAGAAACAAGTAGGTTACAGGGCAGCTAAAAGTGGGCCTGATAACTCCAGCTGTGCCTTATCAAACATTTTGAAGCACAGCAGGAGGCTCCAAAAAGAGGCTTTCTTCTCCCTGTCTCGCTAATCTCGTACACTAATTAACAAACTATTATAGTGACAGAAACGTCTGCTGGTGAGATGAGAACATTCAATGAAAAGTGTGAATATAATATTTGACTGACAGCTCCTACTTTTTTTCACTCTCTATTCTTTAGTGTACACAAATTAGTCGAATGTCAGGGAGGCGCCACTTACAGTACAGAGAAATTGCAGGAGGAAAGAACATTTTTATTGAAAGACCATCTTCACTCTCACTGCTTTCTTAATGGATCCCACTGAGTGAGCCGGGGTGACGGGTTGACACAGTCACTTAGTCATCCAGTATGCCGGTCAGTCAAATGAACAGGCAGACTGCTCAACACCTACAGGAATGAAGAGAACATCCACGCACTGAAGCAACAGCCCAGAACACACAACAGATGGAGGAAACTATTAATTTATCAAATATTTATAAGATGCAAATGTGAATAAAAAATGATGGTGCTGTCCCCGAACACCTGTTTCCCTGCTGGCTTACTGAGATCTTGTTTACCACCTGTCTTCTTACACACTTTCCCCCTTCCTGAACACCAGCATGCCTGTGAGTTATGAGTACAGCTTGTTGGCTGGCTTTCATGCATGCTACATACTTCTTTTCCAGTAAACACACCCGTTTACTCTTTGCCTTTCTGTCTGTGTTCCTTTTTGCCAGCTACTTAATGTAAATGCCTCTTTGCTCCTTGCTTCCGGTCTCTTTGCTTATCTCCTGTTTTCTTACCTGGCTCCCACTAACATCAAAAGTCACAACCTAATTGGCTGTTAGTATGCTAATGACTGCCTATGCATGTACTTCTTTACTTATTGCATGAGCTTTATGCCATTTTGAGAAGCAGCTCACCATTACCTGTTAGTTTTCTACAAACTGTGTTCAGATGCAGCTTTTCTGCATTAGTGATTTATGGGCGAATGCAGGAAGTAGTGTCATGTTCATTTATACAATAGTATAGCTACATTGAACTATGATATTGCGCTGTTTTGTATTGTTTCTTGCTGTTCATTTGGAAATGTTAATTTTTAGGAGGCACTGATAAACTTATTTTGGCATTTGGTATCAGGACCTCTTGTCTTTGTATTTAATCCGATCACAATTTTTCTATATTTATCCAAATTATTATTAACGTCATCCTTATTTTTAGTATTTTAAGAATCAAAAAGCAAATCCAGTTGCATGTGACCTAGTGACTCTATATTTCCTGCTGTCCTCCCACTTACTGAGAATCTTTATAGACATACATTAATCCCATTTAATGTGCAAATAATGTAGGATTAACAAATTGAAAAACAATTCAGAAACATAATAAGAACTCAGTACGATGCCAACGTGTAAAAACAAACAAAAAGTAGTTTTCTAATGCAAAATTGGTGCACATTAACAGGATAAGGATCTTTTATTGTCAGTCTAGAACATGAAAGGGAATAAAATGAGGTACTTAGGTCCCGGTGCAGGTAATAGCTATCTGTCCATCTATAAATGGTTTTCCATTCTTACTGTTTGGCTTCCCGACTGACAGTTGCATATTGGCACTGTGGTGAAGATTTGAAGCAGGAACTCCAACAACATAAAAGAAAGCCTGATGTATCATCCAGAGGGGATCCGTGTGGTGGGGATACGCTCTGTAGCATCACGACAGAAGGGCACACAGAAAGAGCAAGAGTTCATTGTTCATGTCTTTAAAGGGTTAGCACTGCTGCCAAAAGCTGACAGGAGGCCAAAAACCTGGTGCCAGTTTCTTTCTCTCAAGAACAAAAGCGCCAGCATGAAAGCTTTTTTAAAATGGTGCGAGAGCATGCTTTGTTAGCAATCGGTACAGTGTTTACTGAGGATCCCAGAACTTTTCTTTTAAACATGTTTGTTTTGAAAGGAAGAATCGGCGTTGACTTTTCTTGACTTAAGTGTGTGCATGGTGGTGATGTATGAAACACAGGCTAACTTAAGATTAAGGACCTGTGACGCAGTGGTAGCCTTGATACGTTAACATTCCTATAAACATCAACAAAGGATACAAGAATCTTTAGGAGGGGACTGGATTTCATTTGGTTTCTTGTGGAGAATGATGATGACTGAAATGCAGAATGACAAA